CCCCTTCTCATCTTTGTGGTGGATGCCTCCGGGGCGAAGAACCTCGGCGGATGCACCCGCTCAAGTGAGGAATGGAAAATAAAATGGAAACTACTATTTAGGGTTTAAGGTTTAGGGTAATGTAGGGATGTATTACGCCAATAGTGCCATTATTGGCGAATATTCGAGAACCTAAATGGACCAGAACATGGAAATGAAATGGGAAACGAGATTATACGGGTTTATAAGGATTGGGGTTTCCCAGAATCAGGGGTCTTTTTGGATGTCCTCATAATGAGTGTTATTGGTCTATTTGGGGGGGCCCTCATTTTGGGACACTACCTCTTGGGTTCAGAGTTTAAGGCTCAGAGGTTTCTCATTTTATCAGTTCCAGGCTTACTGTTGGGTTGGAAGTGAGAGCTTTACGCATGGAAAAAACATCACCCTAAACCCGAAACCCTAAGCCAGCTTTTGGGAGGGGGTCACTTGCGACTTCTGCTGCAGGTCACTTGCAACATCTCAAGCATCCGAATTTGCTGCACGTCCAGTAAACAACGCCCAAAGTCGCTTGGGACTTCTCCGGGTTTGGGAACAGGATCAGGGCTTGGGGCCGAGTGCGTCAGGATGTAGGCTTAGGGCACGCAATTTAGGGGTGCTTAGGAGTAATTAGCATCTGTTTACTGCGCCTGACATATCGGGTGTAGGGTTCAGGGTACATGGTCTACGATTACGCGGATCAAGGTTTAGGGTCAAGGTGTGTATGGTTGCTGGCTATAGGGTTCAAGGATGAGGGCTCATGGTGTCGGATTGCTATGCTTAGGGTTGGGGCTGAGGATTCTTGTAAGTGGGGTGAATAATATAGTAGTTTCCATATTCTTTTCCATCATCCCTACAATATCCCATTAAAGTAGTTTCCATTTTCTTTTCCATTATCCGATATAAACCCATTGTAGGCTTTAGCCTTTCTGAAGAAACCTTTTGCTCCAGGAAGGTTTTTTCAAAGGTTTGGGGTATTCGGTCAGGGTTGAAGATTTGGCAGTTAGGGCATGGGGTTCTGGTACTGTAGAGCTTACAGGGACAACCAGTCCATTTCCTGGAAGTACGTGATTGCACGAAGATTTCGCTTGAAAACTGGCAAGAGCTGAGTGTTTTGGGGAGCTTGGCACTGCAGACGCCTTCTGGGGCTCAGGGGCTGTGAAAGGTTAGGATGTTCAAGGGGTGGACCATGGTGGGCGATGTTGTTTCAGTTTTCAGGCTCAGGGGTATTTTTGGGGGGAGGTTGGGGGTGGTGATGATAGTGCAGTCAACTGGCTTCCATTAACTAATTCTGGAGATGCCTTGGGTTTCGTATAGGATTCACGTCCAAAAACGAGGACGGCTTTGTGCTTTGCAAGGGGACTGTGCAAGCAGGTGTGCAGGGTTGAGGGGTCCAGGACAGCTCTGCACTGCGCGACAGGAACATGTGAGAAGCCACACGCTGCCCTCTTCCTGACTGCGGCTGATATAGTGTTGCCGACATGGACTGCGTTCTCACTCTACCTGCAGCTTCCTTCAAGGGTCTTACAAGGCTAACAAAAGTGGCAATATCACCATCATTAGCATCGCTCACGCTAGACGCTAGACTGTGTACTCCAGAACACTGTCGTTCGTCTGTCGGCACCGTGTGCGTAGAAACCATGCCCTACCCACGTGTGCTCACCAAATTCGAGTCCTGGAACATAGCCGCAGCCTTCGATACCTGGGTTGTGGTCTTATCTCCCTGGTGCTTATAGGAAGGAATGGGGCAACTGGTTGTAGGAGCTCTTGTTCGGGGCTAAACAGGGATTACGATATTGATCCATTCCCTCGTTTATGCAGACATCACAGATAGAGCTTCTGGTTCGATAAGTCGCCGGCAGCGACGGTTGAGATTCTTGACCCAAACATCCTATAACCCCTACATAATCCCAGCTTCCATTTCATTTTCCATTTTCTTTTCCCTTTCATTCTCCGTTATAGGGCCCTAAACCCTATATCCCATTATAACCCCAATATACTGTAGTAGTTTCCATTTTCTTTTCCATTTTCCATCCTTCAATGATCAGGAAGCCTGGACTTCGCAAAACTCTTTCCCAACGCTGACGCAGATACAGGGAGGCTGTCCCCGGGTGTTGAAGCACTCCACAAACGCCGTGTGACCGCAAAGCTTTTCCTTGTGCGGCTTATCCCAGCGACTCCTTGCAGAAAAAGGTGAACGCTGTGCGAGATTCGAGGTCGTAGGATCATGGGGCGTTAAATACTCTTACAAGGCCTTACACCCCTAACATGTGGATGTGAAATCAATATAATTGTGTGACTTCACCGCAGGCCCTGCACGGCAGGCTGGGGATAGGTTGCACTTGTCACTCTCATGGCTGCAAGCGTGCTTTTGCTATTCCTGCTGCTGGTTGCTTCTATCTATGACATATCTCAGGCCATGCTGAACTGAAAGCATATGAGGGGTTCCTGCACCGCGGGGTCTGCATTAGAAGGAAACCGACCCCCGGCGCCCCAGAAATTCTTACATGGAGGTTACATGAAAACAACTCGTAGTAAAACGTACAGTTCTCTCCCCTGTCCCTCTAAACAAATGTACGAAAAAGGTTTAGATGCATTAACATAACCAGCTGGCAGTCCTTGGGAAGACGCTAGGCCCTGGCTGCCTGCCCCAGTCGTATGCGATCATCTCCGGGCGGTTCTCGGCCGTGTCGAGTGTGCCGTCCAGGCCTCCCCAGTCCTGGGCCGCATGTAGCAGCACCATTCGGAGAGGGAACAGGGACTACCAAAAAAGTAGTTGCTGTTGCGCTGCTACGAGGTGCTACCTACAGCAAAAGCATGGAAGTAGTTGATGTGGTGCCACTAACTACTACCGATAGGAAGAGCACAGAAGTAGTTGCGGTGGTGGTGCTACTACCTACTACCTGCACCATGAACAGCACCAAGAAGAACATCAGCATTTCAGCAGCAGCAGTGGCTCCCGCTGTTGCTGCTCTGCCCTGCTGCCGCCTAGCCACCCACTTCTAGTCCCTAATGTAGACCCCTGATTAGTAAACCCCCTCCCCTTAATGGGGATTATAATAGGGATCCTAATATTAAGGCCCTTAAAAGGAAGGAGTTTACTAATCATGGGTCTACATTACTGATAAGAAGACTATTGATAGCAGCAAGTGTCGTTCACAATGGTAATCCTTTCTAGCGAGTGCGATGGCGACGACACCAGTAGCTGTCATACAGCAAGGCAGGTAACCGTGATTTTACACTTTCATCTAATGCGCAGTGATAGGAAGGAGGATGCTGAGATGATCAAGGACACACCAACGACAGCATTGTGACCATCAGCGGTTCTTTCTGAAGAACGAATGAAGTGGGGTGGCTTTAACTTGTTTTACGGGCTCGCGCCAAGCATTAGTCCAGTTCTGGTTTAAGCATTGCCCAGGGTCTCCGATGAGGAAGATGTGCATTTCTCCTGTGCCGCTGATTTCGGTGGTGGGCCAGTGCTGGCCCTTGTAGCCCATAGCAGTTTTGGGCGGCACGCAGCCAACGCCTTCATCGTCGTCATCGCAGCCAGGCCTCTTGTCCGCATACAGCTGCTGGCCAGCAAAGCAGTCGAGGCACGGAGGGTTGCTGCAGCCTGGACGCGATCTCCCAAATTCAACTTCTAGCTGAGGCTTGACCTGAAGTGCTTGGACTAATACCTTACTGTCTACAATACTTCACGCTACAGCAAGGCTGATTTTCGTCGGCCTGAACATGGAGGCAGCCCACACCATTTCCCACCCGGCGGCGCACAGAAAAACAATCGCTGGTAGTCCGCTTCGTTCGCCTGGGTGTGGCTGACGCCGGCGATGCCTCAGACTCGCGGAACTCAGAAATAGGCTAGCTAGGGCAGCTAGGAAGGTTGGAAGGTCTGTAGCTGTTAGCCCAAAAAAGAAGCATGGCCGAAATGATGGGAAACGCATTCGTCCACTGGCGGTAGAGAAAGAAAGAGAGAGAGAGAGAGAGAGAGCGAGAGAGAGAGAGAGAGAGAGAGATAGAGAGAGCGAAATAGACAGACAGGCAGACAGACAGACAGACAGGCAGGCAGGCAGGCAGGCAGGCAGGCAGGCAGGCAGACAGAGACAGACAGAAATAGCTATATAAAGAGCCTCAGGGAGAGTGATGCAGAGCTCCAAGAAGCAAACACGACACTAGCTTGGATCCATGCCAGGTACGCTATAGCATACCCCAAGTATCAACACGCTGTCAGTAGAAGCCATGCTTGGGCGCTTAAGACTGCTTGTAAGGTCTAGCGTTTTCCTTCTCCCGATACGACCTTCCAAATCCCAAATCCGGCTGCAAGCCAAGCGTGGGCAGCAGAGATGTCTTGGGTTTAAGGCTGTAGAAGGTTGTGAAGGGCTTCATTAGCAACGCCCTCAGCTTCTCTCCCAAGGCGCACATTGCGCCAGGAAATTCAATGTGGTGTTCATACCTATCTATCGAAGCGAGAAACACTAGGAAAAGCAATAGATCCTGAGCCGGACTTCCTCACAGTCCGACCCATGCAAAAAAAAAGGCCTACAAAACCCACCACTCTAAACCCTGAACCATGTAACAAAAGAAGAGGATCCCTCCTCTAAAGACCTGAAGGAAGCCATGATTGTGGCACGTGCTCGTAGAGCAGCCCTTCAAGCAGGAAGCCTGACTGGTACTTCCTACACGATTACCCGATTACCCCCTAATAATGTATGTGCAAATATACAGAGAGAAGGGCTCAAAGGGGTTATATAGGTAGGGATCATACGGTTGTATAAAACCCGTGCAATAGTCCCTGTACTGCCCTACGAAGCACCAGGGAACAAGCCGAAGGCTAGCCGAGGCTCTCTCCATGTTCTTGAACCAGGACACAGCACCAGGGTCATACTTCCCTCCGCCTGCACACTGCGTTTTAGGGTTTAGCGTTTAGGGTTTGGCGTTTCGGGTTGTTTTTTTTGTCTTCGGCTCTTTTACGTCTGTACGATCATCGTGGTTTCGGGTTTAGGGGTTGGGGTGTAGAGTTTAGACTTCAGGGTCTAGAGCTAAAGACCCTAAACCCTAAACACCCCTACGTAAACCCTGTTCCTCCCTACCCCGGGGCCGGTACGGCTGGACAAGGTCTATGGTGTTTAACGGTCCGGAACTTCATGGGCAACTCCCATCAATGCGAGGCTACGAAAAGATCCTTGGATGAATCGAACAACAATGCGGCCCTGTATGCAATGCCAGGTGGTCACAAATCACAAGCCACTCATTTCCTGTTGTGCGGTCTTTGTACCGGGGATGCTAGGGTTGTTGGGTATATGAAGGTGATGCAGAAGTAACCATACTGCTTTTGGGCATGTGCGGGCTGAGCTTTACTAGATTGAGCTAAAGAATCACATGGGGCCTTCCAAAAGCAGGATTCCCCTTCTACCGCCCCTAGTATGGTATGGTCCTTATCTAAGGGAGGATCCCCTGATTTCTGGAAACCCCACACGCATCCTGACTGACCATGGTGCAGTCCTGGTAGCTACGTTCTGACAGCGCGAGGTCTGAGAGATCGTTAGGGTTTATAGGGTGTAGGGGTGATATATAGGTCATCCCGCTCAAGCCACGAATGGTCACTCCATGGGATTATTGTAATTATGTTGGGGTTCCGGTCTACATTTCTGCTAATTACCCATTGTTGGTGTCTGTTAGTGGGTTCGGATACCACATGTTCTGAACTTCTACGCGACACCTGCTCCGAAACTTCAGGGAGTGCTATTCGCGATAAGAATCTTGAAGTAGCCTTCCTGCGGTGGATGCTAAAAATCCTGCATTACCCTAGGTACCTTATACCTTTGGGAATTGTTGTGCTAGAGTATAGCAAAGTTATGCAGAATTGTGAGTATCAACCGTAGCCTTCCTGTGCATTGAGGTCTATTTCAGGTATCCTATATTACACTTCTAATTTCCAGGAATCTAGGAGCAGCATGTCCTTGGTAATTATTGAGGCTTCTACACTACATAGCAACCCCGCACAAAGCACAACAACGCAAGCTACCCACCGCAGCGTGAGAATTGCCAACCTGCAGCCCACATGACGGTACTGCGACACTCCTGGCACAATGAGGCTTTATGCCTCCATGTGGGGCTGTTAAGACCAACGACAGCAAAACATTGCCATTGATGGGTCCTTTTAGACGGGGCTCTAACGAGAAAGGGAAGTGTCCCATGAGGTACTATTAGTTGAGGGACATGCTCAGGCCTCACATGTTGAGACAGTCCCATTTGGTACATGCCTGAACCACTGCCAGGCAGGCATGAAGAGATAGGTTCCAAGCATTTCTGCGTACGCGGCCTTCTGATGATTGCAGTAGTGCGGACATTCTGGGTTGCTGTTAAGGAACTTAAAATAAGTTACTATATTGGGGAAACCCTTTATTTACTATATATACCCATTATGGTAACTTAATTTAAGTTCTTGAACAGCAACCCAGCATTTTGCTGGATTCTTCAAGCAGAACTCGACCCCAGCCCCGGCTTGGCGACACCGTGAACTAAACCCCTTGGGGCTCAGAACCCAGGGGTATAATATGAGGGTGAAATAGGGATAACGGAAAAGAAAAGGGAACCTATGATATTATACTGGAGTTATATAGGGTGTTAATGTGGGGTTTCACATGAAATCTAAACCCTAAACCCTAAACCCTAAACTTGGTCCTCATTCTCGATCAAATGCAGGCCGCCACACTGCTGCAAAGTTGGCTCTGGCTCTGAGGTGTTGTCCGATGAGCGGCTGCCTCGGAACCTGAACGGCTATAGTAGCCCTTGAGTAGATAGCATATAGGGTTTAGGGTTTAGGGGTTGTAGTCCCCCTTAAATAGATAGAATATAGGTTTTAGGGTTTAGGGCTTAGGGTTTAGGGGCTATAGTCCCCCTTTAAATAGATAGAATATGGTGCATATGGCGATCTTATTATAACATATCCAAACCCATGGTCTATCTACTTAAGGGTAACCATCGGAACTCCTTGAAGCTTCAGATATGTTTGAAGGGGGGTTATATGAGCTGTAGTCTAAACTCCTAGTATCCCCCGCGATAACCCCTGTAGGTGCCCATAGTAATCCTAACAATATATTGCGGTCTATATTGCGGTCCTCTATTCATGGAAACTACCAGCTAGAGCTTGACTTACAAGACTTGCAACCCACGTGTGGATGTCCTTCCTTTTTTGGGTTATGTCCTAAATTTTATAGGGTGTATCCCTTAGACCCTACGCCCTAAGCCCTTCACCCACATCCTCTTTCTAGGTAAACCCTACACCTCTACAAGGCCAAAACGTCCAGGAACCTGAGCTGCGAGTCCGGACCTTCCGCGGCCGCAAGGCCCGCAAGAGCCGCGAGCGTCCCCACCTTGCCAAGACCTCAGCTTTAGGGTTTAGGGTTTAGGGTTTAGGGTTCGGGGCTTAGTTAAACCCAATATGTTAGGGTTCTATTGGGGTTATATTGGGATAATGGAAAAGAAAATGGAAACTACTAGGGATTATAGGGGTTATATAGGGTTTATATAGGGGTTTTAGGGCTTAGGGGTTTAGGGGTTTGGGTCCTTGGGATTAGGGGTTTACGGTTTCAGGGGTTTAGCGGTTTTTGGGGTTCAGGGGTTTTAGGGCTTAGGGGCTTAGGGGCTTGGGGTTTAGGGGTTTTGGATTTAGGGGTCCAGGAGTTTAGCGGTTTTGGGTTTAAGGGGTTCAGGGATTGAGGAGTGGGCTTAGAGCTCTGCTAGCTTGTTCCAGAAGAACCTACTCGAAGCATCCAACTCCGGTTTTTCTAGCAAGTGCTAGTAGTAAAGACCTTAGGTTTTGGGTTTTGGTTGAGTTCCCAGGTTCCCTACAGGCATAGCCGGGAATTTTGTCCTGCTTCTGGACATGAAACCATAGGAGACATTCACAACGTTGCCGGTTTTTATGAGTACCGCTGTCTTGTAACACCAATTGCCAATTACCTGCAGGTTTCTGGGTTATGCCTGGTAAATCAGGGCGTAACTACTATTAAACTGTAGGTGATTGGGGTTATAGGTTGGTGAGTACTGAGGAACGGAAGGGATCATTAAATGTCTATGGTGTTATGAGGATTATATAGGGATTAAGGGAAACAACAAATGAAGATCATTGTCAAACCTAATTACCCATGTTCAGGGAACCCTCCTGCCCCTGAGGGGGGTTGGGAACGACGGATGGCTGCCAGACTTGAAATCCCTTTTGGGCATCTTAAATTTCAGTGAGGTCGCATGGGCAAACCTAGACAAAGCAGAATGATTTGACAACCCCTTTGGATGCCTCCTGCATCCACACCCCCTTGAAGAAAAACGGTATTGTACTGTAGGTGACTTTCCTCTCTCCACACATGACCCTGCTGCGAGAGGCAGGGGCATCATGGAAGGTTTAGGTCCCTTGGGGTGGGAACTGAGATCTGGGACGACAGCGATCCTCAGCAGAAAGATTTTCTCGTTCCAGGGATGAACTCCGTGGAGATCTTTTGCTTTCTGAAGGGTATCTGTTAGGTGGACCACCCACCCAGTAATAGTGACTATTAGGGATAATAGGAATCATATTTGGGTCCTCCTATATTCCTATTATACCACTATGACAGGGTGGGGGTCCTCCTAAGGTATCTGTCCTTGCTTGGCATTGCCTGAACTGAATAATTCATCAAGCCACTTGATTCCCCACTAGACTATCTGGCGTGGGATACACGGAAGGTTACATAATCCCTCAGGCCCCAGCGGAACTCCCGAAAACGTACCACAAGCGCAAGTCCCACTTGCTGAGATCTCTGGGCCAAAAAGGTTTACACTACTTCTTATCTAGTATG